GGACAGACACTGTAAAGATATTTCTGGTATCGAAGCAATCTTCATCAGCAACAACAGGTTAAATCAACTTAGCAGCAGGAGGAAAACCAGACAGACACAAGTTTAATAACCTTCATGCTACTGTGCTCTTTTTAATCTAGGCTGCTAGCAGTAGGGTTCACCCACACTTGTGGGAGGGTTTGCACAGAAATTAAGACAATTAGTACAACTTTTCAGTTGGGGACCCTACTGAGGTAATTCTTATTTATGGCTAGTTGACATTAAAACCAATCTGCACAATCCACCATTTCTGCCTGGTCAACTTAAAAACCATAAATTTAAGCAGACAAAAGCACACACACGTCACAGCAAGTAAGCAAGAAAGTAAAGAAGAAAAAAGTAAATATTTAGGAAATGATAATCAAATTAAATTGAAAAAACAATATAATTCTTTTGTCCCTCAAGCCTCATAGTAGGTTCACAGTCTAACACCTTCCACTTTGAAATGTCTTATAGGCATAAATATCCAAATCCTTTAAAAGTCAAGTGTGTGTGTGTGTGTGTGTGTGTGTGTGTGTGTGTGTGTGTGCCTGTGTGTCCAACTATGAGCCGCTAACAGTATAAGGAAACAATGTATATATTTACAGCACATTATGGTAAAAGTGTCAATTGTAACTTCAAAAGAAAAAATATGCAATAGCAGATTGGAAATCAAAGCATTGTAAAAAGGCATACAGGAGAGAAAACAATTACCTGATGTTTGAGTGAACAGCATCCTGAATTTGGAATAAATAGTCTGTACTCAGAAATAGATTGGATAGCAAACTCTTTTGAGGAATGTTTACTCTTTTACTATCCCATAACTTAACTTTGATTATATAGATTTACAACATTTGACAGATAATATTGTCTCATTCAATATTACATTAAATGACAAAGAAATAGAAAAAAGAAAACAAGACTTACCTTCTTAGCATAATCATTTCATCAAAAAAAGAAAATGCCATTTATGTAAAATTTAATAGTTTTATACTTTATAGAGCTGAAGGGTACTCTAAAATACTGTTGGCATATTCACTGATAAATCTGAAGAAAAGATGCTATGTGTCTTCTTTAAATTTAGAGTTGACATCGAACGTGTATATCATAAATTTAAACAGTAGTATGGGTAATAATTGTAGAAAGTGTTAGGCTGGCATTTACTGTAAAGCTATTCAATCCCTCATTTAATTATCTCTAATGGAATCATAATGTCAAAGTTATTTGTAATGTATCACCAACCATATGTTAAAAAATAAATGGATAAACTCCTTATGAAGAGCAGAAAAAATTCCATCCCCTTCTGCTTGAATTCTTATTCATATCATACATGTCCACAGCATTTAGAGAATCTTATTTTTATTAGCTTTCAAATTATTATGATGTAGTATAAATTTGAATTTATATTTTATTACCAATCACCATAATGTAATTTTAAAACTATTCTTTTCAATTTGTCTATCATTCTGTAATGTAAAATTTTTCAAAGAAACATAAAAAAATCATTGTGAGTAATCAAAATGCATTTTTATTGAAAACACTTTTCTTAAATATATAAATAGGGATTTTGCTTCAATGCATGGATGAATACTGAAAATTAGAGTGAGTAAGCAGCAATTATGTTATTATTTTAGTAAAAATAATAGGTAACAGAAGTTTTACATCAGTAAAGCAGCAGTTTTATAATGTTGTTGTCAGATTCATTAATTCATGATTTTCTGATAAACTGTTAATTGTAATACAGCAAATTTTTCAAAAAATAAGGTTTTTAGTAGTCTTTCCTCTGACAACCTGACTGCTGTGGGTTCAAACTTCAACAAGATTTGAATGACACACCATCTAATTTAGATGACTTAGAGAAGAGGCCTGAAGAAGATGACCCTGTGTGTAAAGATCCTGGCACGCAATTATGAGAACCTGGTTTTAATCTATACTACCCACATAAAAGACATGATGGTGTGTGCTTGAGCTGGGGAGATAAAGACAGGAGGACCTATGGGTATTGCTAGGTAGCCAATATGGGCAAATCAGGAAGCCATAGGTCCAGTGAGACACATTGTCTCAAAAAATTAAGTAGAAAGTGATTGAGGGAGACAATATCAACATTAACCTTTCCTATACACATACATACACACACACAGAGTCAGAGACAGAGAGAGTAAGAGAGGCAGAATGAGAATATGAGAATGAAAGAAAAGTATTTGTATACATTATTAGAGTGACTTGATTTCTCAATTTATAGAAATCATCCTGTGGTGGGTAGTATCAGAGATGAAGTCCCTGACTACCACTTCCTCATGCAATTTCCTTTTCTTGAGCATGGGATGGACCTATGGAACCACTTTTGAGAGCTACAGTATGCTAACTACAAGTAATAATACCATATTGGCTGTTTGAAGTCACTGGGAGTATATCTTCAACGTTATCACTAAATATATGAGGTGAGAAATGTATTAATCAGATTAGTTCACTCATTTGACAATGCACATATCTATCAAATATGCTGTACCCATAAAATGCAATATTTAATATTGTCAATTGTTCCCTTCAAAATTTGAGTAAAAGAATTTGCAACATTAGGCAATAAATGAACAAGATTTTTAATTTTCTTTTTTTTTCTTTTTTGGTTTTTACGAGACAGGGTTTCGGGTTTCTCTGTATTGTTTTGGAGGCTATCGGTCCATGCCGGCCTCGAACTCACAGCGATCCGCCTGCCTCTGCCTCCTGAGTGCTGGGATTAAAGGCATGTGCCACCACCGCCCGGTGGTTTTTAATTTTCTTATTCTAATAAATATAATTACAATGCTTTGAGCTGTCCTGGAATGTGTGACATGGAACAGAGAGAATTGGATGGTCAAGAGCCAGCAAGTGACTAAGTCCCAGTCCATTAGACTATGAGATAGTGAACCCTCGGGTGTACTATGCAAGTGAGCATGATGAAGCCTATCACCCTTCACTTTTCTCTGCTTAAATCAAGGTGTTGACTGAAATTTCTGAAGTTTTAGCAGAAAATCCATGTTCATGTCTCTCTTTACATCTCTAGAAAAGTCCTGGCTTCATTAGCTAACACAGAAATTCCTCCTTCAAGGACAAGAATGGTTAGTTTAGTGTCTCATACCATATCACTTAAGCACTCACTGTCTGTCTTCCTCTTGCATGTAAATGCAAGTTTGTGGTTATACTTGATGCACATAGATAATCTAAGAAAAAATATCTTCATTGCAAGGGTCACCTAACACAGCCTTAATTTCAGATGTATCTTTAAAACCCATAAAAATATGATATAACATTTTCAGTTTTCAAAGATTGGATCAGGACATCTTAAATGTACTCTCAACAGTTGTTGACTGTGAGGTAATAGATTAGTTGAATCAAAGCATTTCACAATGTATACATATACAAACATTTTGCAGTACTCCAGAAAATAAAAGAAAAATATCTTTAACTTTTCTTTGTTAATTGAAAATCTTTTAAAAACTGTTGCAAAGCTGAATGAGGTGGTACTTGTATTTAATTCCATCACCAGAAGGCAGAAGAAGATCTCTGAGTTCAAGGTTAGCCTGGTACAAAGAAAGTTCCAGGAGGATATTATTCTGTATACCAGAAAAACAATGCTTGTTTAAAACTTCTTTGTAGGATAGCAGGGAATGATCTGAAGGTGTGGTACAAGCTAAGAATTTTCCCTATAGTTGAGGTACACCACAAAGCCTTCATAAATTCTTTTATCTTGTATTGTGTCTACTTAAAACTTGGCAGGTACTTATCATGAAGGAAACTCCAGTGTTCCTAAAAGAAAATAAAGCTTATACATGATAAACAATGCAGAAGCCCTATGTTTTTCAGTATCTGAAAATTGCATTGTAATCTGATATTACATTTTCTTCAAACTTCTGTAGCCTATAGTCTATTGTCATAAAACATTTCAGAGGTTTTATAGTGACAGGTAGTACCTTAGAATCCCTCTGTCAGAATTCCCTTACTATCTTGAGCATATCCTTTACCAAAATCAAGAATCACTCGTTGCAGTTGTTCCTCCAGTCATTTTAGTTTTATATAAACTCAATGATTTTGCCTTTTTGTTTTTCATAGTAGAGACTACACTCTAGCCTTGAAATCAAGCAGTCCATGCTATGTGTGGAAAACAACTTCCTGAAAGCCACTGGAGAGATTGGAATAGGTTTGTGATTCCTATCCAAATTCTCTTCAGGTAGTTAGTCCAATTGGTCAGTCCAGAAACTACATGGAAAAGATTAATTTATGAGATTGTCTTAATTAATTAATTAACTAATTAGTTTTGTTTATGTGATGGCACACACACATGTATGGACACATACATACATATATTCTACAACATGCATGTGGAGGACCTAGGACAACTTGTTGGAGTTAGGTCTTTCCTTTCACCATCTAGGTCCTAGAATAACCTTTAATTTAGGTTGTCAGGCTTGGTAGCAAGCACTTTGCACACTGTGCTCTCACTAACTTCCTATTTATTGAGATTTACTTTATGTGACCTCATTTGACCTCATTCATGGAGGAAATCTGTCTATACGATGTTTGTTCTTTTGAGAAGCATTCCATTGGAAAATGAAGGCAGTTGGGTTGACAAGAGGCTGAAGGGAAAACAAAGAGAATTTTTAGGAATTAGATGTTTATGAGGTCTATGAAAACTTCACCCATATACCTACAAATTTAGAAGGCCACAAATGTGTGTATAAGCCAATAAAAGTAGACAAGATCTTAAAAGACACTTCATCACAGAAGATTTACATGTGAGAAATATTCATATCTGCAGATAATTCAACATTGTTGCCCATTTTGAAAATGTCGTTTAAACCACAATGGAACCCTGCTGCAAACCCAACAAGCACTGAAGTTATGGAAAACTAATGGCAGCTTATTATGAAGTTATACATCAACTAACCTTAGGATTTAGTAACCCCTCCCAATGAAACTAGAGAAATGAAAACTGACACAGAAAATCCATACATCTCATGAAAGTTTTATTCACTAAGTGTTAAATGCTGGAAACACCTCAGTTTCATTTCAGGGGTGAATGAATAAACAACCCTTCATACATTTAATGGAAAACTCAGTAGCAGTAAGATTGAATGCATTGATATACAAAATTTTATGAATCACAAATGTATCAGGTATCATTATCAGTGAAATAAACCAATCTCAAAATACTACCAACTGTATGATTCTATTTCCATGTCCTATTGGTAAAGATAAGTTACAGGAACTTTTCTTACACTCAAGTTCTTCAGCAGGTTACATACATTCTGATATGTGCCATATATAAACAGCAAATTGTTCATCCACACTTCAACAATTTCTGTCCTGAAAGAGACACTTATGCAAGATGGAGGAGACCCAACTTGGGAAGCTTCACAGTGTTTGTGATTTATATTTTTAAAGTTAGATTGTATGGCACTCTGGGGCTGTGACAGCATTTATTTTCAATTTGATTCAAAATAGTTTTGCTTTCCCTTTTAATTTATTATTTTAAGAATACAAAACTTAATTTTTATGTATTGTGATTCTTAGAGATTGTATTCTGCTATTAACTTACAATTTAATTTCCCTGTAGATGGATTGCACACATAGCTTTATATCAGGTCTTTTATGTTTATTTAGCCTGTTAAATAGCAAGTAACATAAAGCATGTGAAGAGTGCCTTGTGTGTACTGGACATGCATGCTGTCATGAACTCTCATCTGATGAGGTGTTCTATAAATGTATGTTAGGTCAAATTGATTGATAGCAGTGCTCATGTTCTCCTTGTTGTTAATGAATTTCTTTGCTTTTCTTTCCTTCATTTCATTTTTTTTACAATAAAGGAACTCAATTTAATTTTAATTTTAAATATTCCTCATCACCAAATCTTATCCTGTGGATATATCAAGAGTTAAATGAAATTTCCTGTTCCAAATACAACATCTTGAAACCTTGTTGTACAGTAAATTCTATACCTTTGTCAAAACTACACTGAATTGCTTAATATGCTCATAGTTTTCAATAGACTAGAGTCTCATTAATCTGACAACTAATTGTTTATTTCATATTAACAAATGGAAGAAAGTGAAATTTGATTTTTACCCTACACATTTTCTATTTTTACTAATTCTTTGGGAACCTTATATGATGTACTCCAATTCTACCCATCTCCCATTCCTTTGGTTGCCACTCCTCACTCTTGTGGTGTCTTCTGACAAAGGAAAGCTAAAGGGAATAAAAATGAGATTAAAGGAAACAGTAATAAAACAAGAAGAAAACAAAAGAAATAAAAACACCACTCTCCCCATTTTTTCCCACCTCTTAGATCATCCTAGTGACATTGGGAGCTGCTGTGTATCATGCAGGTCCAGTGTTGATGGGGTGTCAAAGCCAGAGGCCTTGACCTGGCCATTGTACCACTACACAATGACCATTTGCAAGGAAAGCTGTTTGGACTTTCTCTCCTTTTTTTCTAATGACTCCCATCTCCCCATTAATCTTGAATTTGTCAGTTGCTACTCTCCTTCACATCCTCTTTTGAGTCATAGATAAACACTTTTTAAATAGAGTGTTCTGTCTGCCTGGAAAGTTGATTCTCATCCATCACCCACATGTATATTATAATATATGTGTTATTCGTAACAGATGTTATCCCAAGTATACCTCATTGTTCAGCAGTTTACTTTGATGGCAACATGGTTACTAAAGCATTTTATAGAACTCATACTTTTCCTTTCTCATCACTCTGTAACTCTGCCATACTTCACATCCCTGGTTTTTAACTAGAAATAAGAGAGACAGAAACCTAGTGGTAAAATTCAGCAAAAGCTAAGAGACTTGAGAGATTTAACAAAATCACTCTCATGGAGAAATAAGAACTGTTCAAGTTTTTCAAGTTTCCTCATATTGGAGAAGTATGCCTTTGTCTAAGACAGCCTAGGGGCAGGTTCCCCTGGGGTCATGGCCACAGCCTTGGCAGGTCAGGTGTCTCCAGTGTGACCAAAAAAATGGCAACATGGATAAATTTTGGATCTGTTCTAATTTTGGATGCTCATTGGCTATAGGTACTGAGTTACTTCAATTAAAAAGATTCTAATAGAAATTAAACCTCAATTTAAAAAAAGTAAAAAGGATAGTTTACCAATCTTTAAGTGATTTTTCAAAAGTTGTTAAAAATATTCAATGGTTATGTCTTTTTTTTAACATCTGTCAGTTATAGTTATCCTCTGGGACAGAAAATCTTTACAACTGACAGAGGGCCTTTATGATCAACAATTAGCAAGGACATGTTAACAGGAATGGTAAACAGTTGGGGCTTTAACACTCCTGATTTAAGGAGTTAAATCTTCCTTTACCATTAGAAGTTCCCTCTCTCTGTATATATTTAGGGCTCAAGTTTTTAAACTTTTATTAATTTTATTTTGTGGTTCCTCAAAACATGTTACTTATACCAAGCAACAAGTTGGTTGTTTCAGAACAGTGAATTGTGTAAAACTGCTTTCCTCAATTTTCAGGGAGATTTGATAATCAGTTTACAGCTCATAGGCTGTTCCAGTTTGAGCTAATATATCTTTTATATTCTCCAAAATAGTAAAAAAAAACAGTCCTGTAAAAAAGGCTGTGCTATATTTTACTAATGTTTATTCTAGTAAAAAAGAAAACCACTTATGGTATAGATGATAAAAAATATGTGGAGCAAAAAATTCTGGCTTCAGCTCAGATAGTCGAGTTACAATCTGTTACAATGGTTTTTATAATTCTAGTAAATGATTCATTTAATTGTATACTGACAATCATTATGTTTTTAAAGTTCTTTAAATAAAAATGACAGTTCAATACATTAAAACTAACAATGATCAAGTTAAAATATTATTAAGTGAATTCAAAATACAATTGCCATGTTTTGTGGGTAACATAAGAGCTCATTCAAACCTTCCCAGCTGACTGGCTAGGGGAAATGATTCAACAAGCAGATTAACAAAGTTGCTCACTTTGACTCTGGTGGAGAGAGCTCTACAGTCTCATTGATTTTCATTGTCAAAATAACAAAAGTCCAGGAAAGCAATTTGGTTTAACTAGAGAGATTGCTTGTCAAAATTATCAAACAATGAGGTGTGTCCACAATATTTGACTGTACCTAATTTAAAAGTGAATCTTAGAGGCCTACTTCCTAATCATTTATGGCAATAAATGTATGCATTCATGTTACAGAATTTGACAAGTTAAAATATGTATACATGGCTGTTTATAGGTATTCAGGTTTTTTGATGGCCACCACACAAACAAAAAAAGTCACTGAGCATGTAATGACTCTGTGTTTGGAATGTTCTGCTTGCATGGGAGTTCCAGAGTTTATAGGGAACAGACAATGGATCTGGATATTCTAATAAGGCATTCAGCTATTTGCTTACATGGGAGTTCCAAAGGCTATAAAAAAACAGACAATAGGTCTAATAAGACATTCAGCTATTTTGTGCTCAATAAAAAGTTAATCACAACAGGTATTTCTTATAATCCTAAAGAAATTGTAGAGCATACTCATAGCTCCTTAAAAATGCAACTTCCATAAAACAGAAATGGGGAAATAATAGTAATGTCACTAATCCCCACCTGGTAAGATTTTACATGTGAAAACAGAATGACTTATTCCATTTTGCCTACAAATTGGACAGGGTTATGTGTATTAGCCACCCTTCTCCCAGATGTAGAGTTTATTCCAGGAAGGGAGCCCATAGATTATCTTATTCCTAGACATAAGAGAGCCATGTAATTATTCCCTCTGTTAATAGGACTTGGAGTATTGGGCCTTAGCCACTGGCTCCACAGGCATGGGAGTAGCTATTCACACATACTCCACAATGAACCTTAGTCACATGCCACTTGCAAAAATGGCTATAAAATCACCTTTGTCTCCACATGATGCATTAAATCATGCACTCTTCATTTTAAATTTTTAAAATGTGGATGCCAATAAACAATCTGTTACAGACAGATTCTAGAATGATGGAACTCAAGTGACTTTTTCTCTGGTCAGATAAACACATCCTTACACTAGACAGTGAAAAAGACCCAATTTGGGGTGTAGGCAATGTTTGTGTTTTCTTACAGGAAAAGAACAAAGCTCAGTGGCTACCAAAACATTTGGTAAAATACATGGAGCAAAGAAAAACTGGACCCAAAACTATGGAAGCCTATACAAGCGAATTCCAGTGGAATATGTTGAATCAGGGTTCTTGACTACACAGCCCCCTCCCCTTCCCAGTTTCCAAATTCCCAAAGCCCATCCTCACCTTTTCAACCTCACTCTCTTCCCTGATATTAACTACTCCACTTATCTGATCCCTGAGAACAGTGGGCCTGTCAAGATGGCCTTCAACCTACATTTATTCACCCCACCTAAATTCTGCCCCTATGTTTTATGGCTTAGACACAGGAATTAGGCAGCTGCAAAATTGGTTTTCAGCCTCACCCTTGCTTACCACCCTACTCCCTTCCATTTTAGGATGCCTTGCTGGCTTTTTAATGGTACTCACATTTGGCCCTTAGGCCATCAAGAGGTTAACTGACTTTATCCACCAACAGATTGACCACCTGACAACAAAACCTACCCAAACTCATTACCACAGGCTTGACCTCGAGGATCGTGGTAATGCCTTTAGAAGGTGACAACCCACAATCAAGCAGGCCACTTCCAAGAAAGACCTCCTTCTGGGCATGAGTGTCCATGAGACTAGAGATTCAACAACATGGATGAATGGAATGAGAGAGAGAGAGAGAGAGAGAGAGAGAGAGAGAGAGAGAGAGAGAGAGATTTAGAGAAAGCACAACACTACATAAAACCTGGCACACAGTAGAATCAGTCTGGTAAAGATATTTATACCACTAATTACCTACCTTTAATAAATGTGAGAGCATAAATAACAGAATTAAGTACACAGTTCCAATATTAGGAATATAAAAGCAAATGTAACACAGACTCAGTAGATGCCAAATAATAACAATCAAAGTTAAAATATAAAATGCTGAAAAAATCTTGATGAAATCAGCAATGCTTTTCATGATCAAAGTTCTACAGAAAATAAGACTACAGGGAATATCTCTCTATAATTAAAAGATAGACTTTTGTGGATTCTTTATTTGGTTTTATTTTTTGGCCTTTATTTGGATAGGGTTTCTCATAATGTATCCCTAGCTATGCTGGAACTCACTCTCTAGGCCAGGGTGGCATCAAACTCATTAGGACCTGCCAGCTTGTATCTCTAGAGTGCTGGGTTAAACTACACAAAGCTATCAAATAAGACTAGACTCAAGAACCCATGAGCTCATAAACTCATAAACTCACTAATTCATGAATGACAAAATGACTGAACTTTCAAAGGAAAGAAAAAATGAATTCAGAAACTCACAAAAAATGAATGAACAAACAAAAGGTTTCACTTTAACCAATGAACTCTGAAGATGCTATTTTGGTAAACTCTTCTGACATATAAGTCTTAATGAATTATTCATGAGGAAATAAGATGGTTCCCAAGAGAACCAGCATGCTATACAACTTCAGATTTTTTTCAAATGTCATTAGTTAATCAAAAAACAGACAAACTTAGAATGATTCATAGATGACTACTAACCAGAGACATAGGGCTAATGCTTTCACTTGCATCTGTCCTGTCATTTGGAGTGAGAAATCCATAACAAAACCAAAAAAAGTATATGCTGGTGCAGCCATACTTATGTCCAGAGGTAGCCCAGGTTACAGGAATGTTTCTTTCTTTTTCTTTTTAATAGATGGTGTAACCCTGAAAGTCAATTTGTTTTGGCAGGTAGAGTCAAAGAGCCTACAGATAGACTGAAGTGTAGAGGAAGAGTTATCAGTTTTAGAGAACAGCATGAGGTGGATGCTGGAAAGTTATCTCAGCAGTAAAACCACTTGATATTTTTTCCAGAGGATCTGTGTTTGCTACCCAAGATGCACACAGTGCCTAACAGCTACCTGTAATCCAATTTCAGGGTATTCATTGCTGTCTTCTGGACTCCAACCATACCCGGCAAGCAAGTGGTGCACCCATCTATACAAACAAACAGAACACACATAGACATAATATAAAAACATACAATTGAGAGTAGGGGGGAAGGAGATAGAGAGACTGAGAGAAACAGACAGAGAAATACACACAGATGGGTACAGTTCCAAGTTCGCACTAAGGAACCCAAAGAATTCCCTAGGC